ATTGACGTAACCTAAGATGATGTTCGTCGTCGGAGATCAAACGCACAGAGGAACAGATGACAATGTCAAGGCAGCCAGCGACATGGTCTTTGGAATTTACGATCGTGTTTACGACCATATAAATTTCGAGGTGACAGCGAAGTTGTCCGTTTTCAGTTTTCGACTTTTTTATTACACACATTTTATTGAAGATCTGCTTTCTAGTTTACCCAGTCACACTTTTATGGGAACTTGATTTTCAAATTTCCGTAAAGCTTTTTTTTTCAAGGGTTTAAGTTTCTTTGTTCCGTGCCAATGTTGCGCAAATTTTAACCCCAACACACATATAAAATGAATGCTTTTTCCATGGAGGTACACATTTCGTGATATTATGCCTTTTCATATGCTATTAGCGGTGTGTACTTCAGTTCGAAGTAAGGTCACGGACGTTCTACAAATATTAGTTCACAGATTTCTAAAATTTGCTTTCATATTTTTCACAAACAAATGAGTTTTTGAAAATATTCGCATCAAAAATCTGAAAATAATAAATAGAAGAATATTTCAGAAGTAGTAAATGTGTCAGTTATTCAAAATGAAACGAAAGAAAAATTAGTTAACGTCAACGTTGGTTGATTCACACTGTGTTGCAAAATGAAGTAGCCCTGTGTTTGTTTAACGGCACAAGAAGGACAAGGCAATACGGGTGAAAGGTCAAATTGAACATAAACATTCAATTCAGACTGGATTTCGCGTAACAGGAAAATTCAATAACAAACTTGGTGTAATATACTATATTTATGACATATTATGCTTCGCTTATCAGATAGAACTAATTTATAATCGGACCGACACATTTCTCGTTGCCGGGTTTGTGAGTTCCCTGTCGCATGGATGTAAGTTGTACTTACACAAGCTGGAATATAATAAAAACATCTCGGTTCGAATTTTATATTGGTCACGTTATTGAATGCTTTGTTGAAATATCCAGAAATATGACAAATGTAATGAAATGTAAGAGAAAGTTTGATCTGTGAAATGCCTTGAGTGTGATTTATTCAAAGCCCTGACCCTGCCACTAGGAAGTACCTCGACCCCGTGTAGTAACGTTAAATATGATCAGTGGTTGGCATAACACGCGTCAACATTACACTCTTTTAATGGTCTTCTTTTCCGCTCTAATTGTGTCGATGGTTATTATTCAAATATAAGTTTCTTCTCAATAAATTTGGCAAAGGATTTTATAGCGGATATCAAGGAATCCTCTTGTATCAAACGAGTATACAACATACAGGAGCACTACTATATTTTGAAAGCTGCTGAGAAAGTTTCATTAAAAATGTATTTAAATTAAATGTCATTTGATGATTATTCTTGCACAGTTAACGCATGGCTCTGATAGTACCTCTTCCTAAAAACTTACAAGCAAACTTTTAAAACTGACAACATAACCCAAAAATGACAGTGCGACTAATAGAAGGCGGACGATAGGTGAAAGGTTGCGCGGCGTGGTTGGTTAAGAAACTCCACAGTGTGCAGGAGAAGGGCAGTTTTAACCAAACTTTTAAACATGCATTGTTGACACCAGTACTGTTTATGGTATGATTTAAGACAACTCAATATAATATTTAGTAGAAACTATGTGGGGCTGTTATAAGATTGTAGTCATGTAGTCAAATCCGAATATATGAGCACCGTAACGAAATGCCAATTGTGAATCCAAGTGATGTCCTCCACGCGCACAGTTGAAGACACATGCAGGGCGCGGTAGACCTGAAACCGCGTGGTTCTGTCAATAGTAACAGTTAACTCGCACTCAACTTTAACGAGAAAACGTTAGACTTAATTTTACACCAACACCAGTAAATTGTTGGCTTCCAACCAAAGTTTGTTTTAATATAACGAGGAGAGACGACGTGAGCTGCCTTCCTGTTCAAAAGTGATGAAAGTACCACAATACAACACTATACAGCGTTACTAGTATATCCTCGAGCTGCATTTTATTGAACAAGTCTGGCAAAAGGGTCCCTTAGATTCGATTAACTTTTATCTCGATAAAACAGAGAAATTATTATGGATTATTAAAACAACGATTATATATATAGTTCATTTTATTTCGAATGCGTAAAGCCTCCGGCATTCTAGTTATACGCGTTCAGTATATTTCAGTTTTTATTGTCACGAGTTAACAACAGTTACTTTACGTTTGGTGAAATTGCCAAATTTCGTCAGATCATTAAATGTTTATTTCAAGTGAAATAAACACACTTGAGATATATTACAACTTAAAGTGGACCTCCGTTGGGAAGAAAGGGATATGAATGTTTAATTTCATAATATTCTTAACAATTGGGTTGCTGCTGCTACACGAAGGTATTGTGAAAGTTTCTTTGTGCTAATGGCCAAGTACTGGTGTTTTTCAAGTACTGGTGTATAAACCTGAGCTAAACAAAACTGTGCTGAAACTGTTCCAATGTTTTCTCAGAATATAAATAATTTCGAAACAAAAAAACAACAACAAAGATTCGACCATTTAAAAGAAATTCAGAAAAGCGGCATTGAAACCTCGTGATATTTATAAAATATTTGTTCTGAATTTATTTTTTTAAAACAGAAAATGTTCACAACAACAACAACGAAATGAACAAATTGCATTGTGTGTATGTGAGCAGAAAAAACACCCACACTCCATGGTGGTTGTACAAAACAACACATGTCACTTCAAATAACATTCTTACTGGTCGCTGATTAAAAATAATATTCATCATTTAAAAAAATATAAAGAAACGGTGCAATAAATTGAACCAATTAAAGAGCACGTGAACCACAATGAAGCTCAAATGATGTAAGATTTTGGGAAATGTAGCCCGCGCGGTGCAGGAAATCTACAGCGCAGGGTGGCAGTACAGACAAGTACGGTGCTGGGAAGACAAGTCCAAATAGCGGTATATGGATCGAAGCGGTTGTAGTCAACACAGGAGGCCCGACAGCTATGAGTGTAGTCAACACGGGGTAAGTCGACGTCGAGTTAACACTCAACGACGAGACACAGAAACGACAACACTGACACTAGCGATGAGATTAATTGCTTCTCAATGTTGGTTTAAGAATTACTTACTTACCAATTAATACTAATTAGAAGTCTATAAATCAAATCAACAGTTTTTTAATAGGACTGGATTGGTCATCGCGGTCTTAGACTTGCAAAACTTAGATTGCCCCCCCCCCCCCCAAATAGAATCTTTGGACCAAATATATACATTTTACATAGTCGAATAAAATCCCGCTATGAATGTCGACACGGCCTTGTTCTGTTGTCCCCCTAACGGCCACAATGATAATACAATCATTCATTGGGGAGTTTGCCTAAGATCTTCAAGTTTTGGGAGTCGGTTGAAAAGGCAAAGTAGAAACGGATATCTGCCCTAGACAAAACAAAAGTGGCGCAGTCCGTACACTGTTGCTGTGACTTCAGTTTCTATGACAACTGTACGTACGTATTCTGACATACAAAAGGGTCACCTCATCTGTTGCCGTACGGTTATTTGTCGACATCGGCTGTAAATGTCTCTGTCGAGCATCGTTGTAGCATTGGGTTACGTCGGTTTTGTGGACATCTCGTTTTTTTTTTAAACACGAGACGGTAGGATATTTGAATATATTTTACGGATCTGTAAAATTAGTGTCCAGAAATGGGTGTCGATTTAAGTAGTCACGGTGTTTTAACAGTAACGCCATTTTCACAACGGTTCACAAGAAATATACATGTAGATCGTATTTGCTTTTTTCACCAGTGACAGTATCGTTGGACGAACAGTGGCAGTCGGTTTGAAGATAAAGCTTTAAACAACTATTTGATGGAAAGTCGTTTTTTTCAGCCCGATTGGTCGTGTGAGTGAAAGGCGTTTTATTGTTGCTACTGGCGACAATTTGCTGTTTTCACCCCTTTGCCCATCGCGAGGAGACGGACCATTACTTTTCTCAACGAAAAATCAGAGAAAAAACGAAAGACGGATACAATGAAAAGTTCCTTCTCTCTGTGTCGTTGTTTGACCTAAACATCAAAAAAACAATACTATTAAGATGACTTACGCCTTACCAGGTACAATGACATGTCTGGGCCGATCGTCGGTGACTGGCGGATCACTCAGTGACCAGTTTGTGTATGCCGAGCGACGCACCGTGAAAATATACGAAACGAAAAAATCTAAACATTGGGCGGTTGAGTAACTGCTGCGGAAAGATTTGGCGGCACAGATCTGAGCACAGAATATTTTATTGCTTGTTCAACCCACGACGTTTTATGCATCGTTCAAGTCTTCTGGCTCTCTTCACCAACAATATATATTACACGTTGTAAAATAGCTTTAATAACACACTCGGTTAAAAGTTACGTCAATGTATGAATACGGCGATTTGTGTCATACCGCCAGCATCACAGCACCGTTTGAAAATCAACAATTCACACTGTCCTTCACATGGTGGATGTTACACCACGATAGACAAAAATAGATCATATGTATCTCAGATGTTGCCAAACCATTCTTCCAAATATTATCAACATGCTTTGCTAATAATGAAAATAACGTACATCGTAGAGGTACTGCCAAGTTAGCTACCACGGCAATGTGGCTCTCATTCTAATACTCGACGTTTTTTTTTTCGAGACATGTTTGATCACAATTATCTTAATATTCCCTATAGGTTCACGTATTTCTTTTCTAAACATTACCTTAGACCTCTTGCGAAAAGTGCATTATTATTTATATTTTAAGCTTGATAAAAAGTGTTATTTACTACCACGAGTCTTTTAGTTTTCTAATCAAGCATATTTTAATAACATAAGCAACGCGGGCAAGTGTCTCGCCCTCTGCTCGGTTGAGGGTTACACATCTCACATGAGATACAATTGACACTTCTCAGGCAGAGGTGGTTGGGACAAGTTTAAAAACAAAAGTACTAATCACCATTGCGATAAATTGGTCTGTTGATGTGGTCATGATATATTAAAACAAACTCACCTCTTTTTAAAACGTTTTCCCTGTATCCTCCCCCCGACGTACAATTCCATCTTTCGTTAAAAAACTGGTATTGACATTCCGCGGTACTGAGGCGCACTGCTTCGAACAGTGTTTCCGGCATGCCCGGGTCTTTTTTGCAGAAACGCCTTTGCTTTTTCGAGAGACTTAGACTTTTACAGTTCGGAGAAATAGCATCTAGTTGTTCCAAGTGAACCTTCTTCTCTGTTAATCTGCATTCAAAGACAAAACAAATAAAACATCACGTAAAAATCGTGTATAAAGATATTCCTACTCGACATCATCAAGGCTGTTGGATAACATTAACCGATTATCAATTATTAGCAAACCAGTGACTTAAATAGAAATGCGTAGTATATAAAGTTTGTGTAATCATTAATTTGACGTATCGTGACTGCATGTAAAACACTGAATGGCGACACAGATGAAACACTCCAGCGTAGCATCACGCTAGGCTTTCCCGGCGTAATGGCATATCATTCAAATCACTCGCCAGGGGATCAGTTAGCTTTGCGGCTTATACGGGCGGACGGAACGAAAAAGGACATTTCCATGATGCCAATGGTCCCTTAATTTGTTGACCATTTACAAAACATTGATCAAAGTTTGATGTTTTCAAAATATTGATTGAAGTCAGCGGTGAGAGTCGACAACACTTTCTGGTCGATTGGGGATTATCAGCGTGTAGACCAATGAAAACGAATGTCTCCCGGTCAGCTGCAGCCACCAGTAGGCTCTGCCTAACTGACACCACGAGCAGGAAGGACTAGACGGGCCGGCGGTCAGTCCATGTTTCGGAACAGTGCTGTAACACTGTCCAATATGTCATTAAGCTGTTATTATGAAACATGCAATGGTGATATGTAACTAGCCCTGGCGCGTTGATTATTAGGTGAATGTCGGCAGAGTGACTTACCCAAAATATGAATCGGTACCTGTCTGTGTAGCGGCTATTATCAAGATGAAGATACCGACCCCTCGCATGTTGGACCACGTTCATTGCGTAGTTCGCTGAAGATATTACTAACGTCTCGTATCAGGTATACTACGCCAAGTCTTAGATAGCTGTTCCCTCCTATTACCGTCGCTACTATATGACATGGTCTTTGCTGACGTCCCTGTGATTGGCTGGTCGACAACCCAATCGGCGAGATCGGGAGAGTACCGCGACCAGGTAACGCACTATAGCAAGGAACGGCAATTCAGTTGTGAAATATGGCAGGCAGACACCGTAAATCTCGAGATGTGAAGGGAATACTACAGCGGAAGAGGCGGAAGCGTGGTTTAACCAAGGACAAGTCCGATCACTGTATGTATAGGGGAGATACTAATACAAAGACACCGCCGCACAGATTCCACACGAGTACATCCGAATAGTGACCAGAAAGTGAGACTTTCCAGTTGAGATCACTCAAACTGGAAGATTGGAAGTCTGATCATGGCTCTTGGTCACGTGGTGCTCTTGAACTGCTATGAATATAGTTGCTAGAGCAAACACAAGTACGGTTATGATTGTCCTATGAGAAGTGTTACAACCATGTATGTTCTGCTGTGTGTAAATTTATACACACAGAGAATAACAAACTAAACTATTTTTGTCAAACAGATTTCGCCCCAATGTTTACAAACATATTATTCACAATAACCGCTGTCCACTCAGTCATACAAGCAATGGCATTCGTACCAGTGACTGAATGCGTGCGTGTGGTGACCGCCATCGTGAAGTCTGTTGTCATATCAAAACAGTGGACGTTAGTTACAGCAAAATGCCGATGATTTTTCGCGATAAAAACAATCACACACTCAGGATATAACAATTTATTGAGCACTGAGCAGGAATACAAATTCTTTTTTTTTCATGTTTATAAAATAACACCTAGCACTATTATTCCTGCTAGGTGGAGCTAGATCGAAGTTCGGACGTAACAAAAAACATTACACAAATACAAGTGAAATGCGTGGAGCCAAGCCAGTGAAATAAAAAAAAGGAAAATAAAGACATAAATTCAACTTGGAGCATGCGCAATGGATCCCACCAGGCCATGTTTCAGAGGAAACGGTCGGTTGGATATTTCTCGAGGAACTCAACAGCGCTGTTGTATGCCTTGCATGTTATTCAACTCACTGGGAAAACACTTCAGTATAAGCGAATAA